TACTCCTCTCTTAAGCAGGATCCTATCAAGAATTCCTCAGTAATGGGTGAACACAATGCAGTAGTCATCTCACATGGATCAATTAAATATTCACCCACAAATTTAGTTCCTTGTTCTATCATGAGAAGATTCATCAGCCTGATGGTGGATACATGATGACTTCTGTCAGGACTGTGGAGCTGTGTTATGGTATACTTCAGAACTGATAAAACTGCGAGACAACCAGCAGAGCTGAGAGTATTTTACAGTGGTGTTTTAGATAGTTCCAATTACTTTGAAAGAAGAAAACAGAAGTTGAGAAGAAGGTCAGCTGAGTCAGCAGCAATGCCATGGCATGTCATACTACCCACGTATGCACCCAGCTCACTCAAAATGTCTGCCTCTTCAGCTAAAATACATGAAAACAGGCATTTGCTTCCAGCCCTTTTATACATTTCAGTAACGGAGTGGTCCTGATTCTGCATTAGAGTTGCAGATGGAGGATTGCATCTGGCTAGCCTTGTTCTTAGGGCCATGTTCCCTTTGCGGGTAAATGGTCAGGGGCCTCACATATGGGTGGTGGGCAAAGCCAGAGCCAAAAGTCGATAAGCCCCCCTTTCTCTCCCTTTTTCTGCCCCCCTTTTTTTCTTTCTCCACTCTCTTTTCCTCCTGTAGCTAAGGGTGGATTATTCATCCCAGAAGTCTGGGCAGATCAGTCTCAGAGGATTTTTGACATTCGCTTCAGAGCCACAGGTTTCCCGACCCATAAAACATAGGTATTTATATTAAAGGTGTGTGGCTTGGACTGCAGTTCCCACAATCCCTGATCAATGGCTATCCTGGCTAGGACTGATGGGAGATGCAGTCTAGCAACATGTGGATGGCCACATATTGTCCTCCATGGTTTGCATTGTGGCTATTCTCGGTACACTTATTTCCCATCATTAATTTGAGTTTTGCTATTGTTGTTTGCCTTCCATTGCCTACTTTTAAAACCACCTCTGTGCTCCTGTGCCTTTTGCAGCAGCTTGATCTGCAGATACTTCTATGTGGTCCTGCTAATCTCCATGCCAGGAGAAAGCTTGTTTTGTAGATTCCTAAGGACGTTATCACACATGGGCCAGAAAGCGATAATAAAATGGAAATGAGGCATTCCGAAAATAAACCGAAAATAAACCTTGATTCTGCAAATAGCTTTCACACGTAATTACCTTAATTGTGAAATTACAGTAAGTGCATTTAACATTCACACACAAGTGAGAAAAGCCCGTAAATGTACTAGAAATGATCTTCTTGCACATGCGCAGATAGAGGAATGCTTGCCGTGGAACCATGGGAAAAAGCAGGGAAATGCTCCCAAATGCGCATTTGCTTTTCACATTACGGTAAATGCGAAATTACTGTAATTTCGCAAATGCATTTCCTCAAAACTACCGAATTTCAAAAGATCTCAGATAACACCAGTTTCTGTGCGACATCATGTGAAATTGTGAGGCACAAATCCAGTTTCTGTTTCGGGTTTGTGTGGATTAACCAGCAGATTTCCCCCGTGTGATAACGTCCTTTAAGAGCACAAAGATTGTTGAACCAACCAAAGTTTTGTCTAATTCAGCATTCTTTGGCCAACAATATCTGGCCAGGTGCCTTTCTGAAGCTCTGATGAGCAAATCATGAAAGCAACAGCAGTGCTTCTTCTTCCATTTGTTTGCCTCCAGAATCACATGCAGAGATAGACTGCTGCTGACCAAAGAGGTTCTATAGTGGCAGAACTTCCCATTCTGAATTCAGAGCTTTTAAAAGTTTCTTCTTTTTTTAGCAACTCTGCATGGCCAGTCAAACTAAAAACTTTTCCAGGCTCTGTCATGACTAACTGCTGCTACTTCTATAGATCAAACTGCAGTAAAACAACCCCCTGGTATGTTGACAATGCTAGTCATGTCTTCTTCTTCTTTACTGAATCATGTATTTTAGTTCATGATATGTTCTTGTTGAGTTGCCACCACTGTCGGGGTGTGCTCAACACAACTGTGCATTAATAGCAACAAAAAGCTGAAAAAGAGAGATAGAAAGCAGACAGACAGAGAAGGGTAATGAGTGGCCCTATAAATGCAGCACTTCATATCCCATCAGTCCCAGACAGTATAGTCAATAGTCAAGGATGATAGGATCTGAAGTCCAGCAACAACTGAGGTACACTATATTCCTCATCCTCTTTTTTAAAAAAGCAAGCATTATGAACTTGCAGCCTGGCCAAAGGGTCTTCAGTCAGCCTTCTCCTAGCATTTTAAGATCTTTAATTCATAGCATTCCTCTGCTTTACTACTGGTTTTACTTTGGTTTTATATGTTTATAGTATGTTTATTTTGGGTCCTGGTTAGGCTGACCATATTTCCTTGAGACAAAAATTGGAAATTGGGATGGCAAAAATGGGACACAGTTATGTCATATTCTGTATTCATGAAAAATTAAGATGATAACAAAAGTTTTATTACATGAACATATTGAGCTAAACATTATTCTTCAGCGACAAAACTCATACAAAAATTTAGGTAGATAAAAATTTAGGTAGATATTCACCACCATCGTACCATTAATATTTCTCCAATGAAATAATCTTACGGAGCATATTTTGGCTTTTCAACACCTTATCATAAAACTCCTCACACTCCATAACACATTTTTGTTTGTTTGTTTGTTTCTTTTTGGACAATCACAATTTCAAACAGGGATCTTCAAACCATTTTTTTCCTATGTAACAGGGCATTTTTCTTGAAAATGGGACAAAATTGATATTAATATTAAAACGATGGGACAGTCTGACTCTGGAAATAAGAAACAGTACTGTTCCATTTAAAATGGTATATATGGTCAAGCCTAGTCCTGGATGATGATGATGATGATGATGATATCCTTCCTTTTCCCCAAAACTGAGACTTAGAGCAGCTTACAATATTTAAAAAACAAATACAATTTAAACAGACAAAAGTGATATTTATATATTATGATTTGTCACAATTTTTTTAATGTTTTGCACACTCCCACCAAAGAACATTTCATAAGGAGGAAAAAGTTTTAAAAGACCAAGAATGAACCAAATAACCTCACAATTAAGATTGGACCCTAAATCTAGCTGCCTCGGGTGGTAAAACCTTTCTCCATCATCATCTCTTTTGCATTCTCTAGGCATCCTGTTTTCTTTTTTTAAAATGAAAGCAAAAAGCACGTACTGCCAACCAGAATCATAGCTTCTGAGTAATCATACTCAAAATATATAGCTTTATCAGACAAGGAAGAAAGGGGGTTAATAATCTGGCTGGGCACAGTGCCCAGTATTTTTAATTTAATTTAATTTAATTTAATTTAATTTTTACAGAGCTTTCTCTTGACATCCTGTTGTGCTTAGTTGTCAAGTTGGGTCAAGTGACTTTTATTTTTCTTTCTTTCCATCCCTCCCTAGAGGAGGAAAAAGGGGGAAGCAGTGAGAGGAGAGAGAAAAAAGAGAGGAAGGGGGGAAACAAAGGAAAAGGAGGGAAGAAAAAAAAGAAAGAAACTTCTGCATGTTGTGCAAAAGGAACTGTACACTGAGGTCAGATGTTTTCTGAATCCAGCACGTGATCTCCAAAGAAAAGTATAAATGAAGATGCAGGCAGAGGACTACCTAACTCAGACACGTCTCTGACACTGGAGAGAGCAAGAGAGAAAGGAGCAAAAAGGAAAGAAGGGAGAAGACGATCTCGACAGAAGGAAGAAGAGGCGAGGATGGCGCAACGCTTGGAAAGGTAAGGGCAGGTGGGCAAGACTGGCATTTCTCCTGGCATCGCTGTATCCCAGCACTTTCTCTCTTTGTGCTTATATACAGGGGTCTCTGATCCTTTATACCCGAGCCTTTCCAAAGCCATTGCTTATGCTGGCTTGGGGATTTGGGAGGTTAGAGTAACTTTTTCCAAACTCTGATGCAGGGGTTGGCAACCTTTCCCCTTTAAGGGCCGAGGGACTTCAGCTCCCAGAATCCCAGGAGCTATTGGCCAACATGGGACTATTGGCCAACATGGCTGAGGCTTCTGGGAGCTGAAGTCCCTCGGCCCTTAAAGGGGAAAGGTTGCCTACCCCTCCAAGTCATATTTGACTTATGGAGAACCTATCATAGGGTTTTCTTGGCACGTTTCTTAAGGGTTGGGTTTTTGTTTTGTTTTGTTTTGTTTTTTGCCATTGCCCTCCTCTGAGGTTGAGAGAGTGTGACTTGCCTAAGGTCTCCCGGTGGGTTTTTATGCTGGCATTTTGCCTGGCATCGCTCTATCTCTCTCTCTTCTGGTTATATACAGCTGTGTCTGAACCTGTATTGTCAGAGCCTTTCCAATGCTGGCTTGAGGAGTTCGAGTAACTTTTCCAAACTTTGAGGCGTACTATCCTTGCTGTTGTTGTGTGCCTTCAAGTCGTTTTGGACTTATGAAGGCCCTGTCATAGGATTTTCTTGGCACGTTTCTTCTGAGAGGGGGTTTGCCATTGCCCTCCCCTGAGGCTGAGAGAGTGTGACTTGCTCAAGTAGGTTTTTAGGCTGTGGCCCAGCGCTTTCTCTCTCTTTGTGATTATATACAGGGATGTTTGCTCCTGTATATTCGAGCTTTTCCAAGCCATTGGTTATGCTAGCTAAACTGGGGATTTGGGACATTAGAGTAACTTTTCCAAGCTCTGAATGTGTACTGGGGGTGGGTTGGGGAGAGGGTTGAGGGAATGTTTTTAACTGTTGCCTGTTTTAATATGTTGTACCCCGCCCCGGTTGCCTAGCAGAGGGGTGGGCTAGAAATATTATTATTATTATTATTATTATTATTATTATCATCATCATCATCATTATTATCATTATTATTATTACTGTTGTTGTTGTGTGCCTCCAAGTCATTTTTGACCTATGGGGACCCTATCATAGGGTTTTCTTGGCACGTTTCTTCCAGGGAGGGGTTCCCCTTGCTCTCCTCTGAGGCTGAGAGAGTGTAACTTGCCTAAGGTCACTGGGGGACTTATGCTCCATCAGGGAATCGAACCCTGATCTCCAGAGTCATAATCTAGCACTCAGACCACTACACCACACTGGATCTACACATATATGTTATGTTATGTATGTGTAGTGTGTGTGTTGTTTGCCTTCAGTCATTTCTGAGTTATGGCCATCCTGTCGCAGGGTTTCCTTGGCAAGCTTTCTTCAGAGGGGGTTTGCTTTTGCCCTCTGAGGCTGAGAGAGTGTGACTTGCCCAAGGTCACCCAGTACACATGACAGCTCATGACAGCTGAGTGTAACTGCTGATGTTAGAGTGGGCTGGAGGTTTATTCTCCTCTAAAATCTGTCCCTCTTCAAAGGACCACAGGTCTTTTCATAGTCCTGGGAATAAATGCCACTCTGGAGTAGAGTTTTGACTCCCAGAATTCCATAGCATTGAGCCATGGCAGTTAAAGTGGTCTCAAATCTGATCATTTCTGCAGTGTGGATACAGCCTTAAACATATCTCTCACTCTTTTCCCATCAGGATGTCCCAACAGGATTTGTCAGAAGCTCTGAAGGAAAGCACCAAAGAGGTCCACATCCAGGCAGAAAACACTGAATTCATGAAGAGCTTCCAGAAGGGACAGGTGTCACTCCGTGAATTTAAGGTAGCCAGGGTTTCCTGGGCTGCTTGGGGGCATTGGGATCGCAATCTGGAAAGGGAAACTTCTTTGGGATTGCTTTAATTTTTTTAAAAATGGAGTAGAAATGTGTTGTTGTGGACCTTCAATTCATTTCTGACTTATGGCAACCCTAAGGCGTTTTCATGGGGTTTTCTTGGCAGGTTTCTGCAGAGTTGGGTTGCCATGGCCCTCCTCTGAGGCTGAGAGAGTGTGACTTGCCCAGAGTGACCAAACATCCTCTGTTCCCAAAATATGTCCTCCATTTCAACCTTCCGTCCAGGAGGAATTCCAAAACATCCTCCATTTTGAGCAGCACTAAGAAGCATGGATTTCTATTTCTTTGAGTGTTTTTAGCTTTTATTTGGTCAGGTCCTCCAATGTTCTGGGATGTCCTACGTGTTGCGGTGCCTTGTCCTCCTTTGAGGTGAGGACATCTGCTCGCCCTGGACTTCCCCAAGGTCACCTAGTGAATTTTCATGGCTGAGCTGGGATTTGAACCCTGGTTTCCAGAGTCCTAGTCGGATGCTCAAACCACGCTGATAAAAGAAATGTATAAATACCCTGCCATTTTAATAACACATGTCTCAATGAATAGAGACTTGAACCTCAGTTTGAACTTTGGGCTTTAAAGCATTTAGAATTGTGCTGCTCTAACCATTTCCAAGCAATGCTTGAATCAATGTGATTTCCAACTAGAGTTGCCTCAGTGGGATTGGCCTGGATATCAACTCATCTTTAATAAGCAATTCAATGGGTCTGTCCTCCATGGTACTAACTAGCACACTTGACCCTTAAGGTTGCCATGTTCACTGGATTAAGCACTTTTTTAAATAAATAAATAAATTACCCCTAACCCAAAAGATCCCCCTGGTTGATTGTATAGATTTAATAATTGATGGAATGGGTCTGCCTTCATTGGTACTAACTAGGAGGAATATGCCTCAGGGTTGCAGTGTTGCTTGGATTAACCAGTTTAAAAAATAATAAACCAAAAAGATTCCCCTGGTTAATTGGGTAGGATATATATTATATTATATTATATTATATTATATTACAATTGACCCTCTGCATCCACAGATTCATTATCCACAGAGTCAGACATCCACAGTTTGATAATATTTTTTTTAAAGTCCAAAAAGCAAACCTTGATTTTGCCATTTTATATTAGGGACCCCATTTTACTATACCGCTATACTATAAAATTTGAGGATTCATGGATTTTGGCATTCATGAGTGGTCCTGGAACCATCCCTCAGTGGATACCAAGAGCCCATTTTATATTAGTAATATTATTAGAGATTTTATATATAGAGAGAAATATTGTTATGTGCCGTTAAGTTGTTTCCAACTTACGGTAACCCTAAGATGAATGTGTCACAGGGTTTTCTTGGCAAGATTTGTTCCCAGGAAGTTTGCCTTTACCTTTGCCTTTGAGGCTGAGAGAATGTGACTTGCCCAAGGTCACCCAGCAGTTTTCCATGGCTAAGTGGGGATTCCAACACTGCTCTTCAGGTCCAGGTACAACACTCAAACCATTACACCATACTGGCTCTCAATGGAAAGAGATACAAATATAAATAAATGCGCGCACACACTCCCTCATACAAGTATGTACATTTTTTATCTCAATCCTGACTTCAAGATGCCCAGAGCATAGTTCTTTACTCCCATCCTTGTCCTCATAACTCTCCTGTGAAGTAGGCTGTGCTGAACATTAATGTAACAAGAGAGTTGGGATTTGAATTTAATCTCCCCAATCCTCATCCAATACTAGCATCCTTTCAGAAGAGTTCTTGGGAATGTTCCCTGGATGATGTCTGCCTTTCCACACAGAGATGCTTATTTTAAAAATGAGAATATAGGCCTGGCTTCTCAACTGTTTTGTCTACATATAAATTAAACTGATTGACCGATCAACCAAAACAGATGCAACTAGCCACCTAAGATTTCTTCAAATGGGTAACAATTCTAATTCTTATGCTTCTTTGGTAATAAATATTTGTTGTAGGGTGGGTACTCACAATATTTTGCCCAGGGCATCTCTGAGATCAAGATACCAGGATGAGCAATTGGCAGAGTTGTGGTTTGCTGGGAGTGATAACTAATTGGAATATATACGCTTAAGAAAAGTTAAAAAGCTAAGAGTGACTAAAGTCCAAAACACACTGCAGAAATAATCCAGTGTGATACCACTTTAACTGCTGTGGCTCAATGCTAGGGAATTCTGGGAACTGTCATTTTGTGCGACATTTAGTCAGAGAGCTCTGGGTCCACAATATACTACAATTCCGAAAATTCCCTAGCACTGAGCCAGGGCAGTTAAAGCAGTCTCAAACTGGATTACTTCTGCAGTGTGTTTTGGACCTAACCATAATTTCATATTCATCATCATTATAATTTCACTTGAATAATAATTTAGCAATAGCATCTATTTCTGTGATGATCTGAAAAAAGCTTGCCAAGGAAACCCAGTGATAGAGTGGCCATAAATTGGAAATTATTGAAGGCAAACAGCACAAGATGATTTTTAAAAAATGCTGAGCATTCTTTGCTGCAGTCCAGTAGAACCAGTTCAAAATAATGGTTGGGTGTCACTCCTAATTCCTTTGTGGATAATAGGGTGTGAGTAGGCAGAAGCAGAAATGTAACAGTCAACAGTCAGGGAGATAAAGAAAGAGAAAAGTCCAGGAAGCTAGCTATGGGAGCAACAGTGAAGTTCTTGAAAGACTAACCCAGGTGATTCATATATTACCAAGGAAATAAACATGGAATATTGCCTGGAGATTTCCATTCTTTGCTGGTTGGCTCATATCTATTAAACCGGAATGGTTGAATGAGAGAGGAAGAAATAATTCCATAATAATCCATAGCTACCTGAGCACTAAGTGAGCCAGCATGGTATAGTGGTTTGACAACAACAAACCTGAGCACTAAGGTAGAAAAAATCTTCTCAGTAATGTAATGAAAATGATCTTCAAAAAAAATTGTGAAACATTAAGGCCAAATTAGACATCACCTAGGATACGTAATGCCTCCTCATATTATAAAAACAGATTTGAAAGTGGGAGCGAATTCGATCAAGGCAGTAGGGTATGCTCAATACCTTTCTTTGTGCTATTTTACTAGAATTTAGGAAGTTTCCTTTTTATTACAACTGCCAGCATTCTTCAGCTGGCCAAGGATTCTGAGGGTTATAGTTTGAAAATGTAACTTCCCTAAGCCCCCACATTTTCCCCAATTGAAATATTATATCATAACTGCTAATGGTTACTAGGGATGTGTGAGGGGTATAGCTCTAATGTCAGTGGATTGATGAACCTCCTCCTGGTGCCAGTCTGAACTTTACAAAAGCTATGGTGTTCTTGATGTGGCCTTCATATCATTTCAAACTTATGGCGACCCTAAGGCAAACTTATCATGGAGTTTTCTTAAGATTTCTTCAGAGGATGTTTGCCCTTGCCTTCCTCAGAAGCTGAGAGAGTGAGACTTGCCCAGTGGATTTCCATGGCTGAGTAGGGATTAAAACCCTGAACTCCCAGAATCTTAGTCCACTGCACTTTGGTAAACCAAAGTTACTCTCCAAGGTGTCAAAGCTTATCCTCCAGGTAGCTTCTATTCCTTGGATAGCTTCTTTAAAAGTTTGGGGCTACTAATGGCAACTTCGGTCAGATGAGAGGGGCAATTTTGATCTGAAAAATGGTGTGGAGAAAAGATCAAGTATTTTCTGTCTCAGTGACACTGCTTTAGTCAAATCCAAACACCCACATTTGCTTTTAAAGTTTGAAAAAAGATGTGGGGACATAAGCTTTCAGATCTCCTCAGCAACATGCAGTCTTGCATTTTGTTGTTATGTCAACTCTGACTTATCATGGCTGTCTCATAGGGTTTTCTTGACAAGGTTGATTCAGAGGTGGTTTGCCATTGCTTTCCTCTGAATATAGCTTACAGCATCTGGTATTCCCTGGTGGTCTCCCTTCCAAGTACTAACTAGGCCTGACCCTACTTATAGTTTCTGAGATCAGACAGGGTTTTATATATGTCTTTCACTGTGTGTGTTTGTATGTAGTTAGATAGCAGAAAGCTAGCATTTATCTTAGGTCAGCTTCAGTCTGATGGTAAAAGTCATTATGTGAGCTTAACCTTAGAGGCTCCAGGAGATTAGCACACCAAATATATCATACATATTAAAATATATAGGAAATAACCTATCAGTTGAGAATAGCCTGATCCCCAAGGGTGACTGAAATTTGTTGTCCCATTATAGCAGGAGTAAGGAATCTGTGTCCCTCCAGATATTGTTGAACTACAACTCCCATCATTCACCAATCAATGTGATGAGTACCATAGGTGTGATGGAGTTTACAATACAGTACCTGGAACATCACGTTTACTACCCCTGCTTGCAAATTACGGATTAAGCAGGAGAAGGAAGAA